TATATATATATATATATATATATATATGACACACTAGCTAGTAGCATAGACGTATGAAGTGTAAATTTATAACGTATGTTTCATCCTTTAAAAATCAAATATGCAAAATCAACATTATAAAATTTAAAGTGAAAACATTTGATGGTTTAGAGTTAAATCACTTAACCATATAAAGTGATAATTAAGAGTGAGAGTTTTGACTACTAATTTAGATAATTAACTCTTAGTTTGCAGCAAGTTTTGACTAGCCACAATGTAATCCCAAAACAAGAGGATTAAGCAAGTTTTGACTAGCCAATGTAATCCCAAAACAAGAGGATTACACAAATGACTGTATGAATAAGCTAAAGGTTTTAGTATTTGATTAATTATGTGATTTATTTTAGTCTTTTAGATATCTCAATCTAGACTATTAATATTTTCCTTTTAACTTTTCAATATATATCAAATATTAAAATTTTAAAATAAATAAATAAATAAGCAGCCGGTGACTCAATTGGACTAGCCTAATGCAAATTTGTTTATGACATGGGTTTTATTGGACTAAGCTAAAAAAAAGGATCATATTTAATTTAGGCTTAAAATTGGAACCCAAATCCTATAATTTATTAAAGGAGTTCGAATTAACTCGACAAATTTGACTTTTGTCAGTTTTAAGTTTTATGATATATTTCTTACTTATAAAATTTATAAAAATACGCTATATAATTATTAAGAATATATTTGACTTATTCTTTAATTGATATTTAATTCGTTTGGTATTGACTTTTACATATTTTATCTGCAATGCTTAAGAGATCATTATTAACAATGAAGTTTTATAATTGGCATCATTGGGAATGGTTGAGACTTGAGAGGCAATGGAAGGCTCAAAGTCAGTAGTAGATCCGAGACCTCATGATCTACGGATCGTGCACCCATCACAACATATATAATGTTACGGGTTTGTCAGGTGAACTGTGCCAAGTGCAATGAAGCCACACTGAGGGCGAGACTCTATACTTGAGAATACTTTGTGGATCAAACGCTAAGCGTGCTAATGTGTATGTTAAGTACTAGAGCCCTAAAGACTTGTGTTTGATATGCGAGTCCCATGCTAAGCAGGGATATATACCCACGTTAAGCAGAAGAGCTCCAAATAGTAGTTTTCATTTTGTGGGTCATTACTAAGTGAAGTTCTCATTCTAAGCGTAGGTCCCCCAAGGAGGAAGGCTTGAGGTAGAATGTATTCTCTAGAGAGTGATCCTAAGGCAGAGTGAAATGGTTCTAAGTTATAGGGTCATACGCGAAGCAAAGACCTTATAATGGAGAAGATGATCAAGTTTAGTGCCTCCAAATGTATATGGGAGTTTGTTTATATATATATATATATATATA